TCTTCTTCTTCTTCTTCTTGCACATTATTATCAGACGAGCTCGATTGCCTAGTTGGTTCAGCATTATTTAAATCAACGAAGGCAGCAAACGTTTGGAATGAAATGCCAAACACTTTAAACGCTTTCACGAAATTACTAGCGTTATCAGTCACCGTACACAGAACTTTGTCCGAAATATCAAACTCGGTATAAATTGAAGATAACATAGCAGCAATAGCCTCTGCATCATGTGGTGAAATGAAGCGACGGCAACACAACACTCGTGACTTTCGCTCCAATGTAACTTCATCCACCCAATGTACTGTAACACCCATGAAACTCTTTCGTTTGGTTGACCAAATATCAGCTGTGGCACAGAAATACTTCACACTCTCAAATTCTTTTTTTATTTGGGCAATTTCTTGCTTATACAAATCGTCAAGTCGTGAATTAACGGTGTACGCTGATATGACATTATAATGCGGCACTTCATACGATGGTTCAATGACCCCAGTGGTAATTTCTTCAAAAACATGTGAAGGAAATTGAAAGAATAATCAAAATTTGACTCAAAGTAATTCATTTCAAAAAATTACCATGAGTATATCGCTTGAATGCATCTAACGAGACAATAGAGGTCGGCAACATTCCCTGAACGATAAGATTTAGCAACGCATCTTCATACTGCGACTGAGATAGCGGTAGTTTGCTACAATGAACCTTTCGTTTCGGCAATTTTTTCTCATTTTTCTTGTTTAAATACTCCAAATGCTCCGCGGTGTGCCGTGTCTACAACAAATTGTATTCGAATCAACAAGTTTTAATGGTTCCTATGATTTTTGTTTGAAAAAAAAACTACCTTCAAATGCCGAATGAAGTTCGATGTTGCATTCAATGATCCACACACTGATGTCGGAATGTTACTTGACGTCTCGCAAATTTTGCACTTTGCGACGATGTTTTTTTTGTCATCATTTTTTCTTTGCACAATTTGAAAATAATCCTTGAATAGAATATGAAGATTTTCTTCTTCTCTTTCGTCAGCTGATAAAATATTTGATGGGTTTTGCGATACACTTCCTTGTTCACGTTCCGATTGGTTTTCTTCGTCCAAATTTAAAGTCTCAAAAGATTCACTTAAAGGTTGGGTTTCGACGGAAACCAACGACTCACATATTGATTCGATCGTTTTATCACAGTCAATAATTTCATCAAAGATGCTTTGATTACGCTCACTTAACGTAACATAATTTTTGTTATTTGTTTTCTTGACTTTCGATTGATATGGTCCCACTGGGTTTTTAATAGAAAAAACAACTTTTTTTGATTCCATGTTGCTCAAATGAAATGCAAATACAAACTAAAACTCCAACACTGGAGCGACATAACAAACCAAATTCCAGTGAAACAAGAGAACAATTATTTCAGTTCGTGACACTTTAGCGCCCATTCGACATGAAAAATCCGAGATGCTAAAGTGTCACGAACCAAAATGTAATCCGTCGGGAGAAAGAGTGTGCTCCAACGATTGAGCCCATTGCTACGCGTTGTATTCAAGAGGTACTGAGTTCGATCCCTCATTTGGTTTGATTTTTTTTTTCGTTTGTTTTTTATTTATAAAAAAATTTAAACTAATTTTTTTTATTAGTGATTTAAATCAATCAGAGATGACTGAAGCGCACCGAGTGACCGAGCAATGGCCGCACGGACACTGAGTTTGCGTGCTTAAAACATGCTCAGTGCGATATTGCGCTGCAGCACAAACAAACCCACTCCATGAAGAGAGTATAAGCGCACCAACGGAGTGCGCTACACCGCACTCGTACACAACGAAGAAACAATAGAGAGGATATACAAAGAAAGAAACACAAAGAAAAGAATAAGACAATACACACTCAACTCTTTATATGTGTGTATAAACCATAATAGGCAACAGAGTTAGAGTGCGCACACATTTCTTAACAACAAAGTCAGAGTGCGCACATAAACTCATAACGAAGTGAGTGTAAACGCACAGAGCAGAAAACGACTCTCAGTTGAGTTGCTGAATACGCTACTGAGCGTGCGCTTAGTCATCTCTGAAATCAATTGATTTACAAATCAAAAATTCAAATAAATTGATTTGCTCTGATCGCTACAAATCAAATAAATCATTTGATTTGATTTGAAATACACTAACATTTTAAATCAAATCATTTGATTTATTTGATTTAGTATTTCAAAACCAATCAAATTATTTGATTTGTTGATTTTGATTTAAAATCCAAAACCTCGAACCCTGTGATGAGGCCAACGCTGTAGATGATACTCCAGCGGTGACCGAGCCATTGCATCGTGAAATTGGCACTCAAACTGGTGAGGCTTCTTTTTCTCATGTATTTTATCAAGTTTATCAAGCTCTTTCCAAGTTTATACATAGTGTCGAACTTTTGTTCAAGCTCAACTATCTAAATGTACAGTAAAATAATTTACGAGCACGACGTTAGATGGCGTTTTTTCTGGTCAAAAAAATTGAAATATTCCTTTGCCTTCTCTCTTCCCGAGAGACGCGCATTCGAAGTATACTTGTTAGTTCTGAATCAAGTTTTATTAGATGGCGCTATTTCAGCTAAATCTTTCATTTCTTTTGATTGCTTTCGGGTCATTTCGCTTTTCTATTTACTTTTACTTTGTTCTGATTCTTGTTTTTTTTCTCTTTTCTTTCTTTTCTTTCTTTTCTTTCTTTTTTCTGGAAGACATGCCGTTAATTTTCGAGCTATCAAATGTTTTATTTGAGCCGGATGGAACTCCCATTCCTGATGGCACATTAGTGATGATAAGAGGTCCGGTGCAAATAATTACAACCCCCCCACCGCCGGTTGATGAAGTGGTTGAAGTGGTTCCGGCCAACGAATCGGTTCCGACTAATAACCATCCAAAGCCGCCAGAACAACTCTTCGAAGCCGACAATTTGGCTGATATACCAATCGTATTCAGCACCGGTTTTGAAGAGTTGGACAACGACTACGTTGACTTCAACATTGACGATGCGCTGCAGTTTCAAAATAAAAAGAATTAAATTCATAATCCGAAACTGTTGTCCGTACTTTTTTTTCAAAATAAAGACAATATAAATCGCAACAAACATTTTATGAAAGTATTTTTCATGTTCTTGAACACTTGAATTCAAAGGAGAATATTATTTTAAATACTTTATAGAAAATTTCAAATTCAAATGGCCGTTATTGAAATAAACAAATAACATGAAATTCCAATCATTTACGCAAACTGGGTTCAAATTCATTAATTATGATCCGAACATATAGAAAATTACCAGAAATATATCCAA